CAGATTTCCTTGCAACCAGGAAACCGGCATCACTTTTGGCAGGGGGCCTGATAATATATCCGAAGCCACCTCTATGACGCCCGGCGTGTGGCTTGTGGCATGTGTACTCCCCATTCGCACCTGGAAGGACCCCCCAAAACCGAGTCCTTTCTCCGAATGGCGAATCCTGTACACGGCTGAAGTGCCAGGTGAATCTAAAGGAGTGTTGTCAAGGTTTGGTTTCTAGTAGGTGCCTGCTGAGCCAATTTGGATTCAGATGTTCTGAGACCGCAGATGCTCAAGTGCTAGTCAGACCAGTGGCTGGCTGGGTTGGGCAAGATCTGCTTGTTGAACCACACCCCTGGCCCCCTTGCAGCGCCCAAAGCAGGTTGTTTAACTCAATTGGATATTTGGCGGTGGCTCAAAAAACCGGTACCCAAAGTGGAACCCTGGTAAGTGGAAATATGGACCAAAACCTGCGTAACCCCTCCTGTTTAATTTTGAGCCACAGCCATTTGAGGACCCTGGGGTGTCCCTCAGAGTCGGACCATAGGGTCGATGATCGGGGTGGGTGCTTTGAACAACTGAGCAGTTGGAGCATGCCCATCGGAAGGTAACCAGGGGTTTCCCCATGATGTAAACTTAGCGGCAGCCAAATCTGGTTGCCTATAGTGGCAAGCGTCTGAAAGCATTGGGAAAGGCAACGCAGTGAGCAATGAATCCAAAAGGCGTTCAATGCTAATGTTCAGGCCACAAGTTTTTGCCTGGAAGCACTGGCATTTGTAAAGAGATGTCTTTGGCCCCTTGGCACGGTCCAAACCACCGGCGCTCGCTTGCTGGCCAAAGGGCTGGTGCCGGGAAGCCGTGCACTGCTCTTCCCTCAGGCAACCCGTGTGAGGGCGCTACCGTGGAGACCAAGCACTGCGCCCATGGCTCGGAGTGTGACAGTGTGGGGGCTTCAACAACGAGACCTGGACGCCTAAGAGAAACAGTGGAAGGTGGCTTAAACAATAGGTTGGACACATGCTTAAGCAAAGGGTTGGTGGCCAGTAACCTGTTCAAACATGTTCAGGCCACTCTTGGCTTAGGACATATTCTTTTGGTTTGCCCTTTAAGGGGGAGGCCAGGGGTTCGTCGTTTATTTCCAGTTTTCGCCGAAGCCATGATCCCCCCGAAAAAAATCTATGCGGTGTCCATTCATAGCATAGCTTAGCTTCCTTCCCCAACCCTCTCTGCCACAATTGGCTCAGAGGGGCACCAGTTGAGCCATCAGGACTTCGCATGCTATTCCCAGTTGGGCAGTTGGGGGGGGGTGGGGGGGGATGCCAAATGAGCTACCTGGCTACCTGGCTGGAGTCTCCGGATCTTAAACCGAAATAAGCATGGGGCAATGAGCAACCATGACTTTTCGGGCAATGACCAACCATTTTTTTAAGGGTCAGAAGGAGACTCCAGGTACACAGAAGTAACCCTTATGGATCAACATAGCCGTGTATGATGTATCGGGTCCAATAGGTCCCCTCAAGCTCAGTTTAATGTGGCTAGGGTCACCTAGCAGGGTCTACTGCATTGAGCCTTCATAATAGGATTCCACTGCCCACCACTAGTCCTAGCGGGGTATTGGTCAGCATGCCGTATTGTCCCTTCATGCACATCATGCCAATGAGACTCATTGTGAAATTCCAATGAGGTGATAGTTCAACCACCACAAGGGGAATGCTGGGACATTACAACAATATTTGGGACCCCGAAGCTGATATGTCAATGACCAAAACTGGAAAGGGATCGTGTTACCCTTTGTTCAGTCGTTTTGGAGGTCCCCAGAGGTGAATTTGTATATCGATTTCCGCCAAATATTGGACTTCCCTGCCTTTGCGAATGTGGCTTGTGATGAAAGAAGCCCAGTGCTTCCAGGCGTTTCGCCATGATAGGAGGTAACCAGGGATTGTTTCCTCTACCTTATGGGGAAACCTCTGTTTACCTACTATAGTGGCTTGCCTGGAACCACTGGGAAGGTTATATGATTCAACCTCAGAATTATCAAAGACCATTTTATCAACGGCGTGTCATTCAATACTGTTTTTTTTTTGCATTTTCCTTGGAGAACGATAGGGGACTCACAAAAAACGATACCCCTGAACATGGTTTGTGCTGGACCTTCGAGCTGGAGCTGCCGAAGTCTAACTTGTGTACCGTGCCTGTACTGAAAGCTGCGACTTGCGACCTGGAGGTTGCTGCCAGCAAGCAAAAGCCGCTTAGACTGACACGTGACCGCCGCAAGCTGCGACCTTCGAGCTGGAGCTGCCGAAGTGTAACTTGTGCACTGCGCTTGTGGTGAAAGTTGCGACTTGCGACCTTGAGGTTGCTGCCAGCAAGCAAGCCGCCAAGACTGATATATGATTACCGCAAGGCAGAGAAGGCTATTGTGTGTTTGCTTGGCTCTAACAGCTTATGGAAAATTGTGAAAATTTTCGTCACGCGACACACGCCCAGAACGATACCCCGGTCGATACCCCGTCGAGCATTGGCCCGAGTTGCAAATGTGAGGCCTAGTGCATTTGCTTACAAAAGACTACGCGTGTGGTTCCAGTGCTGTGTTTGCGTAGAAAGTTTGTCGGGTGCTTTTCGAGTTCGCGCGGCGCTATAGGGGTTTGCGTAGAAAGTTTGTTGGGCACGCGTGGTCACCGCGAAGAGGGTTCACCGGGCACTTTCCAAATTCGCACGGAGTCGCAGCGAGGGCGCTTTGACACGCGCAATCCTCGCAGAGGGTTCATTGGGCACTTTACGAATTTGCACGGCGCCACAGCGAGAGCGCTTGGGCGCGCAGGATCACTGCAGAGGGTTCACCGGGCACTTTCCAAATTCGCACGGCGTCGCAGCGAGGGCGCTTTGACACGCGCAATCCTCGCAGAGGGTTCATTGGGCACTTTACGAATTTGCACGGCGCCACAGCGAGAGCGCTTGGGCGCGCAGGATCCCTGCAGAGGGTTCATCGGGCAGTTTTAAAATTCGCACGGCGTCACAGCGAGGGCGCTGTGGCACGCGCAATCCTCGCAGAGGGTTCATCGGGCGCTTTACAAATTCGCACGGCGCCACAGTGGGAGCGCTTTGAGGCGCGCGATCCCTGCAGAGGGTTCATCGGGCACAGCACGAACACGCGAAACGTGGAGAACGATAGGGGACTCACTAAAAGTAGAATGAATACACCCCACACAGCAAATATAGACGCTGGCTCATATCCACTTGGGTGTTCGGCCAAGTAAGTGGTTGGTGACCTGGGCAAGGTCCACTTACAAGTTCCCTTTTTGTTCAGAGGGGTTCGCCTTAGCGGGTGAAGAACCTCAAGCGGCTCTCCACTTACCAACTTGGTGAATCGAACATCCAAGTAGGGCTCCAATTTGTGGATGTCCCACGAGTCGCAAAACAAGATCTGGGTGTCCTTTTTGGGGGGAACTCGGAAACACGGATCAATTTTGTTTGGTTCCTTGTTGACTGACAGCGCCTCGAACCTTGGTTTCAGCCTCACGCACGCCGGTCTTTCTGAGGTGAAGGCGGACTGCCAAGAGGTGAAGGACGTCATTTTTGTTTTTTCCCCTGATCTTTCCAGCGGACCCACAACCCGAACCATTGCTTTTCATCGGAACCTCCCTGTAATTGAACTGAAAATGCCTGGAGTCTCCATGACCCGTTAAACATGGGTCAATGACCCCATTATTTTGGGTGATGACCCCATTTTTAAAGGTCGTGAAGACTCCAGGTGGGTTCCATGGTTTTCGCGGCTCGCATGTTTTGATGGCGAGTCTGGCTCAGTCCTGGCCCAACTAGAGCCTGTGTGCCAGTAATCCTGAATTCACCCAGACTGACGTATCTCTCATCACTGAGACGGTTTTACAGCACAAGCGTCTACCTGGAGTCTCCATGACCCTTTAAAAATCAATGACCTCATCATTTTGGGTAATGACCAACCATTTTTCAAGGGTCAGAAGGAGACTCCAGGTACAGGGAGCATCAATTTGGTTCGATCCCTTCGAACCCCAAAAGCACCCGCCCCGCCCGTCGTTTCGCCATTCGACCGGAGCTTCCGAAGTCGGGACTCGGAGCCCTGACATTGGGAGATGTGGAAACCGACCAACACCTCAGCCCTTTTTTGGGGTTCGGAGCCCTCGTTTGGGCGGCTGGACCCCTGAAATCGGGGGCTCCTTCCGTCAAGTTGTGGGAGTATAGCAAGTTTCGACGGCATGGCTGGCTTCTGCGTTGAAATCCGGTCCCCATCCAAATCATGGCTTGATGTGACCTCCCATGCTCCTTAGACCGATTTGTTGGAAACAAACGTGTTTTTTGTTCCGTTAAACCTGCAAAAGGTCTAACAAGCTTTTGCTCGGGAAAAAGACACACCTAGTAAGTTGGATGGGTTTTCGGGGTCAGTTTGATTTTTGTCCCGATAGTCGCGGTGGCGTCCAAAGTTATCAAAGGGCACCATGCGCCTTCGACTCCCTTGACGGGCAATTTATTGGGCCGGAAAGAAGTGGCGGCCAATGGTCTTCCTGTCCTCAGTTGGCAAACTGTAAGCTTTTGTCAGCAGGGTTTCTGCGTCATTTGGCTGTGGCTCAAACGCATGCAAAATGGCACCTTGGCAAATGGAGCCAAAGATCAAACCTGCGCAACCCTACCTCTTTAATTCTGAGCCACACCCAATTGTGTACACATAGCAGGTCAGTTGTGGTCAGTTACTTCCTTCGAAGTGAGACATAGAGAAGTCGAATCTTGGCTGCCATTTCCAGTGCTTCCAGGCAAGCCACAATAGTAGGTACCCAGCGAAATCCACGATGTAAAACCCAGAGGTAGCCATAGCTGTTTACCTACTATAGGAGAAACTGGAAGCACCGGGTAAACTTGGCATGTGAGTTGCTTCCTTTCTGTTTAACATCAACTCCCGGAGGTTCCCTAAATGTCACACTACGGATTACGGACTAGGGTTGAGGAATGAATGCAGCGTGCGATAGCGCAACCGGCTCCGACTCATGCCTGCCCCAGTAGTCAAAGCTACGCATCGCTGCACTCCTTTACTTACATTGAGTGAAGGCAACACGAAGGCAGGTCCATCAAAAGTGTGATCCATCCGCTGACTCCAAAGAGTCCTTTTCTACCTGGGGGCCGAGTGGCCTGCGGAAGGCTGGATAGTAGCCAGGGCTATACCCCTCCAAACACATGCCCTGAGTGGTAGCCCAGGGTTGAAAGCATGCTAAATCCCAGACCATCTAATATGGCTGCGTGTCCAAATAGGTTGTCCCCCAAAATGGTCGCCACGTCCTCTTCCTTTCAGGGACAAACCTGGGATCAACTTCCAGATTGATCAGTCCTGCGGCCCGCTCTCTCTTTTGCTTGGTGGGTTTTCTTGAACAAAAGCCGTCAACACGAAGAAGAGTGTGTCTTCTTTTGGGGGAACCCGCAAACTTGTGGTTTTCCTTTCAATCGTCCCACAAGGTACCCTCGACAAAAAGACTCTATGTCAAATACGTGTTTTCTAGCGTTCGGGTCACGGGTTGGGCCACCAGAAAGCCTCAAAAGTCCAATCTCCAATTTTTTATTCGGGTTAAATGATGGTTTCCCAGGTTATCCTAAGGGTCCAGCCGATGGAAAAGGGGGGCCCTAAATAAGGTTCTCTTGACACCCCTGCTACTCGGGGTGAAGTACGGAACCCCAGATTCTCCACACCAACCCCCGATCAGACCCTAAACCGGCAGCTGTGGAAGTCTGGGGGTTGAGTCCTTGTCCATTCTTTTCGACCACCGTTCTTTTGAAAAACCTGCTGTGTTTTTTTGGGGGGGTTCTGAGAGCTTCCTGCTGTTTTTTGGGGGGGGGTTCGGATGGTTTTCTGGAAAGATTCGGATCCCTGGAAATAATGGAAGTGGAAGTGTTCCCCAGAGGAATGGGTGCGTCTCCGATTCCCGAGTCGATCGCGATTTGTCCGCTTCGCGAGGACTGCGAGTTCAGCGATTGGCACTCCTGGCAGGGCATGCCACTGGGCTGCGGTTGGTTCGGCTTGTGAGGAACTTTCCCCGTTTTTGGTCCATCTGTTTGGTTGGGGAAGGGTAAGCCAATAGGAAACAAGCCGTTTTAGGGGTTCCCCCATTTTAAGACAAGCCCATATTTGGTCAGTCCTCTTTTCACGTTTTGAGGTTTTGGCGGCCGCGGTGAGTTGCTGGAAACGTAGGGTGCGTTACAGGCGTTGTCACCTTTTAGCGTGTCCTTGTTTTGCGGGAAACCGCAAACCCCCGTTTTGTTGGTTTCAAAGGGAAACCAATGGGAAACAAACCGTTTTAGGGGTTGAACCTTTTAAGACAAGCCCATATTTTCGTCAAAGTCCCAATTTAACTTTTTACGGGGTTGAGTCCGACTAGGTGGAATTCGTGCTTTAAAATCTGGTTTGTGAACGCAATGCCCTTCGAAAATCCCACTTGCTTTTTGTTTTCTTCTTTTTTTGACTGTTGCCATTCAAGTGGTTACAGGGTAGTTTGGGGTTGCTACTCTCTTTTCGACCCAGTCCAATGGCAAAACTTGTGCGTAACCCCAGTCAGCGCCCAAAATCAAGTTCTAGTGGCCAATTGAATACAGTGTTCCATGGTTTTGCTGGGGAGCTCCCCTTTTCACCCTCAAGAGCTACTCGGATGTTCGCCAAGTTAGCAAGTGGTGATCGCCACTTGGTTTTTCGCCCACTCTTAACAGGGTTAGCCTCACTGAACGGGGGACTTGCAAGTGGAGTATAACATATCCCTGGGGTTCGGGGGCCTTAAAAAGAAAGGCCTTTAGGAAGCGGCCGTGAAATGTGGGGAACGCCCTTTGTTTGAAAGCTGGACGCTTTTACTTGGGTTGACAGTTTTGTGTTGGCCGCATAAGTAGCCACATGGCTTTGCAGTGCTTGTGGCTGAAAAGTACGCTTTCCAAAGCCTCGCGAAAACCATGTAGACATGTTGAAGCTGGTCAATGCTCAAGGTCTTCAACTTTGTGGGATTTCTAGAGACATTGATCATGGGCTTAGCAATGGGAAATCGACAAGGGAAAAGCGTGAAAATACCGTGAAATTGGCGTGAACGCCCTTTTTTTGCAGTGAAAGACCGTGAAACGCCGTGAAAATTGGCAGGCGAAGAACCACTCGCATTCGTCCTGGCTGGCGTTGTTTTCTGCTGGGTTTGAAAAGGTTTTGCTGAATGGATGTTTCGGGAAGACCATGATTGTTCCATTGATGATGCAGAAATGTGATGCTTTAACGACGAGGCCTTCGCAAGTCTAGCTTGGTGTGGAAAAGGCTTGTTGCTGACGATGTAAAGTTGGAATTCCACCCAGGCCCCCATCCCCCAGCTAGTCAAACAAAGGATGTTCATGTAACGGCCTTTGTTTTAAAAGCCTTTTACCCCCCAGGGATATGTTACCAACAACTTACTAAGTTGGCAACGAACATCCAAGTAGAGGTTCAAATCCAATTCCCAAGCACCAGCCCTGTTTCCAATGGAAAGAAGCACCGGGTACCCTGGCTGGTGGATTCTGTCGGGTTGCGCAAGCCACCCTTCGTGTCAACGCCCTGGAAAGACTCATTGGGGGGGTGGGGCAACCTGAAAGAAGTTGGGGGTAAACCTGAAGTCATCAGGGGCAGTTTTAGTGGCCTTTACCGAAAATTACAGGACTTTGTGTTGGCCAATCCACACATTATATGCCGAATGATCTCTTTAGTAGGAACTGTCTTAGAATGGTTGGAGCCTCTTGTCGGCGTTGGAAGGGAATCAAGAGGAACTTGCGTTGCCACAGCTGTCATACAAGGGAATGAGACATGGAATGTTTCCCCAAACTGAACCACCAACTGCCTGGAGTCTCCATGACCCTTCAAAGTGGGTCAATGACCCCAGTATTTTGGGTAATGACCAACCATTTTTTAAGGGTCATGGAGACTCCAACTGGTGGTTTAGGGCATCATGATATTTTGAAAAAAAATCCTTAATATTCATAAATGTATATTACTTACTTTTGGAAAATAAATTATTGCACCATTTTTTTCCCACATAAACTTCATCTAAAATTCTTATAAAAAAAACCTAATTTCGTTTTATAACCTTAAAATAAAGTTGTATTAATTGCATAAGGACAAGCGATCGAAATAGATATATTTATTTTTTATTTTTTTAATCTATTGTCTTAATGAAGTGCAATATCCAAAAATTGCTCTCCCCCAGGTTCTTTCCCAGCCCAGACCGATTTCCTGAGCGTTTGGTGAAGGGGTCTTTCTTCCAACCGAGAAATAGGGGTGGAAACACCCACCATTGGGGCGGGAAAACCAGAAACTCTGAACTCAATTGATTCCCTACTACTGTTGACCGCAGAAGGGAAGAAAAGCTAACAATGAAGACGCATATATGGCAATTGTAGGTTATGTTCTTCATTATAAACTGGACCAAGTTCATATTCAGGTTATCCTTAGTTGGTCGGTTTGGATTGGTTGTGTCCCATTTGCCCTCCAGAACCAGGGGTTCAAATCCCCAGCTTCAAGATGACCTACTTGGGTGTTCGTTGCCAAGTCCGTAAGGTTTTTGGTAGCCTATGTCATAATCCACTTACAAGTCCCCCGTTGAGTGGGGTTAACCCTGTCAAGAGGGGGTGAAAAGCCCCAAGTGGCGATCACGACTTGCTAACTTGGCGAATCGAACATCCATGTAGCTCTTGAGGGTACAAAGGGGAAGGCCCCAGCAAAACCATGGAACACTTTGTTCAATTGGGTTTAAAGGGGTTGTCCAGTTCAGAGCACTCCCCAAAATGTAACCACTTGAACGTGAACAATAAAAAACAACAGAAAACAAGAGGGAATGTGGAAGGGCATTGCGTTCACAAACCAAATTGTTAAAGCACGAATTCCACCTAGTCGGACACAACTCCATAAGAAGCTTAGTTGCCCCCTTGTGGGACCTTAAGAGTATATGTGGGCTGCCCATAAGTCCCCATAAGTGAGGCTAGCCCTGCTATTCGGGGGATATACCCTCACCTGGCGATCCGAGGTGCGTGAACGATCAGAAGGTCCGGTGGCGAGTGGTGCAACAGCCTGCGACCAACGGCCCGGGGTCCCGGTTGCGAGGAGTGTACATTTGTGCGGGTTGGTTTGAAGGAACGCCGGTTTAAAGGTTTGTTTGTAGGGTGGTTTAAACGTCGGATTCAAGATTGGCTTATAAAGGCAGGATTGAAGGTTGCTTTAGAGATTGGTTTCAAGGCTGTCTTGCAGGTCGGTTTAAGGCTTTGCTTGAAGGTTGGTTTATATATTGCTTTGAAGGTTGGTCAAAGGTTGGTTACAAGGTTGGTTTAAGGCTTGGTTTGAAGAAGGTTGGCTTGAAGGTTGGTTTCAAGGCTGGTTTGAAGGTTGGTTTCAAGGCTGGTTTGGAGGTTGGCTTGAAGGTTGGTTTCAAGGCAGGTTTGAAGGTTGGCTTGAAGGTTGGTTTGAAGGTTGGTTGAAGGTTGGTTTTAAGATGTGTTTAAAGGTTGGATTCAAGTGTTTTTTATGCTTCGAGAACTCCGTCTCCCAATCCATTGAACCCGCAAGGATGGCAAACCAACAGGGAAACTCAAAGGAAACCAGAAGGGCTATACCATAAAGCAAGACAGAAAAAGGAGCACCCTTTTTTCGGATTCTCCGCAGAGTGCGTTTTCAAACTTGGGAATTCGAGGTGGTTCATGGTTCATGTTTGGATTCCCTTCAAAACAGCTCCAAGCAGAGTAGCTCAAACAAAACACAGCTCCAAGCTGCTTTTTCGGCCATGCAACCAAAATCCCCAACCGGGGTCACAAGCCATGGCTGAGCAGCCCACTGACTGACCGCGCGGACGTGACAGATGGATGGGGTTTTGGGGCCGTGGCTGCGTCGCCAGTGTTTGAAGAAGCAGATTCGGAGGATGACGGCGCCCTAGAGGAGGCTCCGGGGCATGCGCTAGCTCGACCAGAGCAGCGGTGCCGGTTTGGATGCGAACAGCCGAATCCGTTTGTATCC